TGAAGAAACTAACCGATTAAAAAATAGCCTGAATGACTACGAGCAAAGTGTTCACAAACTGAAAAGCTACATAAGTAGAATAAATGAGATCAAAGACAAATTTCGTACTACCTTAATCGAAAAAGATGAAGAGATTCCAGAAGCAAAAGGTACTTATGAAGAATATACAAAGCACAAGGGCGATGTTGCTAATAAGGAAAGCGGACTAACTAACGATATTGACATACTCAAAGAAAATATAAGAAAGGTTAAAGAACAGATTGAATCTGACAAGGAGGTAATGCAAAAGTTAGAAACATACAATAGTAAGACATATAAGAGAACAGAAACATCGTTAAAAGAATTTAACACTAAAATCGAAAATTTAGAAATGGAAAAACTTCAAGGTGAATTAAGAACTCACAAAGAATCCGTTAGTAGCACCATAAACGAAATAGAAAATACAAAAAAGGTTATAGACACACTTAAGTCCTTAAATATTCTCAGAAAGAACTCCAACGAAAACTTACAATCGATCCTTAAAATAAAAAAGAGCAAGAATGATTTAGTACAGAGAATAGATAACCATATTCAAGCATTAAATAGTTATAATATAATAGAAGAAAAAGAAAGATCATCCCTTTTGAACACATTAAATAAAGAAAAAAATAATATAGAAACTGAAATACGTCAAGCTTCAATATCTAAATTAGAAGATAATGAAAAAGCTGTGCAGAATTACTGTGAAAATGAAAAGAGCAATATTGACAAAGGCATCGTAACCCATTCGGGAGATCTTGAACAATATAAAACTCAGTGCCATAACACAGAAATAGAAATAAACAAACTCAATGCTAATTATGAAGTATTAGAAAAAAAAATAGATGAGTTGGTAAAAGATCAACATAGCCAAATTATAATATTGGTTGATAAACTCATAACAACAAGGGAGACGGAAATAAATGAAAAAATCGAGTTGAACCTAAATTCTCTAAAGGATATCAAGACGAAATTAGACCTTTTTAATTTTGACGAAACTGTTAAAAATAACATAAACGTCACGATTCAAAGCAAAATAAATGCTTTCAAAGAACAGGTGAAAAATACATTGCAAAATATAGATAATGAAATCGGAAAAATAAACGGAATTAAACAGAAGTACGATGCCTATATGGCAGTATTCAAAAAAGAAAAAGATCAAACCCCCGAATTCAGGAAAAAAAAAGAGAAAATGGAAGAAATTTATAAACAAATGAAAGAAAGCACACTAGATCAATTACATCAAGTAGAAAAAGAAATCACTATATTAAATCAAGTAAAACAATTCCAAATGGAACACACAAGAATTTTAATTCATCACGCTGTTCACATGATTAATGAGGAAAGCGCAAAAGCTAAATCAGTAATTGGGGATATCGAATTAGCTAAAAGCGAAATTGATAAAATCAAACTTAAAACTGAACAATTGAAACAGAATATGAACAATTTTGAATATGAAAAATATTACGACAAGGCTACACAGAGCAACACACGAATAAATGAATTTTCTAAAAATGCCACAAAAGATAAGGAAGAAGCTGACAAAAGTGAAGATATAAACGAAATAAAACTTATCAAAGAAAAAATTAATGGCAATCTGCAACAACTCAAAGCAGAATATAATTCTATGGAAGAAATAAGAAAGCAAATTAATAGTATGAAAGGTTTACTACTTTTGAATAATTCTGAAACAATAGCTAAAGAAATATTAAATAATACACAAGACGCATTAAGTTTTAGCCAGGAAGCGGCAAGCGAACTTAAGAAATCGAATGAATTATTAAAAGAAATAGAAGCTCAGATAGCTAGGGCGAAGGAACATAAAGGAAAAATTGACATAACCTTAGAAGATGAACAAATAAATTCCGAAGTAAACAAGATTGAACTAATTAAGCATGAAATTGTGAATAAAAAAAAAGAAATGGAGTCCTATTTAGCGAAGATAAAAGAATATAAAGACAAATGTACAACCAAAATCAGCATTTCAAATAGAGGAAAGGAGAAAATTGAATTCATGAAAACGGTTAAGAAGAACATGGAAAGAAGTTCGAATAAAGATGACATGATTGAGGTAAACGAAAATATAGGAAAATCTGAACAATACTTAAAGGATATACTAGCTCTGGAGACAAAAGCTGCTAATAGTGTAGAGTTATTCATGCAGTATGAACAAACGATCAATAATACTTTCCAGCAAGCTGAGATTCTAGGAATAGAAACTAAATCAAAGAAAAAATTCAACAAAGCAACAGAAATAATGGAAGAAATTAAAAAACACAATGCTGAAATTCAAACAAAAGGGAATGATCTGCAAGGAACACTGAACCAATTGAAGGAACCCCAGAATACCGACGACGCAGAAGATGAGCTTAACAATGAGACGTCTACCAAGGCAAAAGTACTTATACAGATAAACCTAGAAAGAGTCAAATATAATTTATCCCAGGTTGCTCAGATTAAGCAGGAAGGGGATGACATATTTAAGAGAGCCACAGGCACCATCCTGTCCCTATCAGAAACCTCCCAAAATAAGGATGGTAAAACATTAGTCACGGTAAAAAAAGACGAATCTAAATATATAGAGTACTTATCGCAAAAAACTACAGATAAAAATCTAATCGTCTCAGAAATGAATAAGCTAAATGGCATAAGTTCCAATATCGTAAGTATAGGAAAGGAATTGAATGAATCCAGAAAGAATTACGAAATTGGACTTCTTCAAAAGATAGATCAAATAAGCAAAAGTAGGAAGCCAAATATGGATTTAAAAAAAGAGTCCATAAATTCAACAATGAGCTACTTCTCTTCCCTGTTCACTGGCCTAGATTCAAGTCAATACAACTTTAATAAAAATATAGATTATTACCAACAAAAGATGAAAGAAATACATGATAAATTTCACGAATCGCTGAACAAAATTCGTGAAAATTTAAAAAAGGCATCAGAAGAGGACACAAATTATACCTTAGCGAATGAACTCAGACGAGAAGCTCAACAGGAAAGAGCTAAACTTATAAGTACGGAAGAAGAAGCAATCAAATACATAGAGTCAATTAAAAAACTGGAATCCATCAGATTTATAAATCACGTAAAAGAAAATTTAGACAAAATATACACATTGATCAAAAAGGAGAAATTAAGAATTAATGAAGGTCATGAATTCATCAAACAGCTAGTTGAAAGTATTGAAAAGGCAGATAATTACGGCGATGTATCAGAGAAATTAGAACAGGCAAAAAGAAAAAATGCAGAACTGGGGACAATAATGCTATCTACGCATAAGAAGACGGTAAAACAAATGTTAGAACATATAGTTTCCTCTGCAAATTTTATTAATGTTAAAGTAATTCCAGAATTGCCTCTCACAGAGTCACACGCTAACGAAGCAGTAGAATTAAAATTTCAACCGAATGGTAAAATAACCTTAGAAACAAGAAACCTCTCGTCAAGCGTAACCGAATTGGATTTCCAGAAAAATATAGAGCAAGCTTACAATCTCGCGCTGGAGATCCACAAATGTGCAAACGATATAGATGCACAGCAAACGCGAAACAAACAGTTAATGATCACAGTAAAGGACCTACATGATAAAATTAAGTTCATAGAAGAATTAAAAAATAAAATAAAAATTACAAGGAGTAATGAAAATGATGTATCGGGTAAAATAATGGGTAATTCTGACAATATTGAAGAATTAGACAAACTATCATGCAGTGAAAAAAGTTATGATAAAATTTTAGAGAAAGCGCATCAGATAAAACTAGAAAATATACGTGATTCATTTAATGAAGGAAAAAGAGACGAAGATATTGACTTTAAATTAAAAAATATGAAAGAAGCCATTGTCACTTCACAAACATCCTTAAAAACTCTTGGACAAGAAGTTGAGGGTTTATTGGCAAAAGAAACCAATGCTGAAAATTTGCAAGCCAAAAGTGCTCAGATCGAAGCAGTAGATAACAAAATAAGAAGCATAGAACAAAATATTGCAAGTCTAAATACATCCTTGGACAAATTATTAAAAAGGGGAAGAGAATGCGAAATAGCTAGCTACACATCCTTCAGAGATAGTGTTAAAAGCAAAATAGATGCAGAGGAAGAAATAATCGATAATATGCAGAAGCATGTTAGTCAATATTTGACATATGTTGAAGATAATTATAATTCCACAGTGAAGGACGTCCTTACATTAAATGAACATTTTAACAGCAACATGGTAACTGATCACGCAGCGACTTATTTTGAAAAATCAAATAAAACTTCGGAAGAATTATCTACAGTGGTCGATCAATCAAGGGGCATAATAAACAATATAAAAAATGCCCTCATAGAAGTTAATGAAGAAACTGAATTTACTTCGTTGGAAAACAGCGCACAAGAAATAGAAAAGCTGTACAGTACGTTACATGATAAAAAAAACGCAATGAATGAAATTTACAAAGCATCCATTTTAGTTAAATGGCAAGAAATAAAATCAGATGCTGGTAAATATACCGATATGGCTAAAATATTCAACAGCGTGCTAGACACCCAAAAATCGAGAATTACAAATAATAACAGTAGCGTAACCCGCCTTAAAGGCATCATAAATGTACAACTTAAGGATTTAGAAGCTGCGGACACCACATTTACATTGGAATCGATAAATACGTTTTATGAAATAAGCGATAAGATTAAAACGAGTATAGATGAATTGGAAAAGCTGCAACAAATTAATCGCCAAGAACATAATAATGTGGAAACGCATAAAGAACAAATTGCACATTTATTAAACAGAAGAGATAACCTAAAAAGTGGAGTAAAAGTATACGGAGATGATGCATATTTAAAAAAATTAGGAGGGGATATACTAAATCAGGTAATGAATAACATAAGAAATACTAATGAAGAACTTAGCAACTCAGATGAGCTGTACATCAAATTAATGGAAAAACTTGATGAAAATGATGAATTGTGCAAAAATAACTATACAGAAAATTACGTTTCTCAAGTACTGCAAAAAATGAAGGATCTGGAGAAACGCTTCAAACAGAATGTACCAGAAAAGGAAAAAGTTTTACAAATTGAAAGCAACTTGAATGAAATTAATTCCATATTTGGTGAAATAAAAAAGTCTTATAACGTAGATGAATTTGTAATGAACATGTATAGACAAATTAATGCTGAAAAGGAAAGCGTACGGGATCAGACAAATATTGAAAAAATAAAATTGGCAATACAAAATATTACAAATAACAATGAAGAAGTGAAAACTTATTTATCCAAATTTATTACTACTCTACAAAGAATAAATATCATCAAAAAAGATATAGACGATTTATTCAGCTCACTATCCACAAATAATACAAATGCAAAGGGAGATGCCGAACGGTATGTAAACCATTCGGTAGAAATCATTAATGAAATAAGTAGTCATATTTCTAAAATAACCGAACTAAAGAATTATGCTGAAGGCGTCATAACCGAATTAGAACAAGTATCTAAGTTAATACGCCCACCTGCTAATGACTCAAATGATGAGACGCAAGGATCATCAAGTGAAGATGATAGCACACATGACGACGATTCACAGAGTGATGATCATTCAAAGGGAAAAGGTGCATATGAAGGAACTCGTCTCGCAGTAGGCACTATTATTTTTTTGTTCGTTATTTCTGAAGTTGTCCTATTAAGCCGTGGTCATAACGCCGATCAAGAAAAGGAATATCATGAACACGGCTATCATCAAGCATTTGAGGGTGACGACGATTATAACATTCACGATGAGGAAGAAGCAATCAAAATTTGTTTCAATGACAGCGATTAGCTTCGGTGAAACGTAGAAACGCAAGGACACGGAAACATGGACAATTTTTATAAATTATGTCCTATATGCATACATTTATTTTTTTATGAAATGAAACCGTTCACGCGTTGTTAACCATAATGGATGATTTACACCGTACTCTTTCTCCGTATATACGTCTTGCGTGTTCTTAATTAGTGAAAAAAATAACCATCGCGGTAGGCATGAAAATAGTTATTGCCTTCAGAATAGCATATGTCGCGAGCTACATAATGTACGTGCATACGTTCGTAAAGTTGCCGTACTTTCACAAATGTAACTTTTTTTTAAATTCCAAAACGATGATTTTTTTTTTTTTTTTAGTGAACTTTTTCATTATTTTTTTTTTGTACACTTTAAAGAATATTATTCCGCATTACCATTTTGTATTTTGCCAAATATACTGATTATCTTCAGGTGTGCTACAGCTGCTTTCATCAAAGGATATTTCATTTTTTATCATATTTATGCTTTCCCCTTGCTAAATATGAATAAAGGTCAGCTCCTTTAGTTGTGCCTTAGCACGAATGGTATAATTCGAAACACAAACATGTTTATAACCCTGCGTTAGATGCATTCCAAGGGCGATACGGATATATTTAACAAATTGCTATTTATCGATGCTCTTATTTGACCCTGATTAAACTGAGAACCTAAGGGGTTCGACGTCTCTTTACATTTTCCCCTCTGCTTATAAATAGTGAAAAAAATAAAGGGTAATCCCATAAATATTAATACATATTAGCACCGACTATTATTTATTTTTGCGTTTTAAATTATGGTAAATGGCAAAAAAGGATTATATTCAAAAGGTTTTACCGTCTAAATGGCATAGTACTAAAAACAACTCAAAGAAAATTAAAAAGTTAATTGTTACACATATGTACATCTTTATTTGAATTTCAAATGATTTTATTACGAAAAATAGGCATATATATATGAAGCACAAAGAAAATAGCTATATTACGTATAAGAAGCAGAGCGGTAATTCTGTGAAATATTGCTACAAAATTGAACGTAAAAAAAAAGATGAAAGTAGAATTTTTAAATAAAACAAAATGTTCTTTATAAGTTTTATTTTTTTCGTATTCTCATTTAGCATTAAGCAATACTATAATATCTTCTGTCTTATACACATTCCTAACCTATGTAATATTGTCTTTAGGCGGGAACAACTACATAAAGTCGTTTCATGTAAGATGATAAAGTTATACGCAGCCGTTTTCTCTAAGAATTTTTGCTTGATGCATTTCTCTGGGATCTCTTCACCGGCCGAATTTCTCTTGTAATTTACGATGGCAGATTTTCTCTGAAGATTTTCACTTCCTGAATTCGATTTGTGTGATGGTGATTCTTTGGGAAGCTCTTCTAAAAAATAGTTCCTATTTCTATACATTTCTGATGACTTATTACGGAAACTGGATTCTATGGAAATAAACTAATGTAGGAAAAAAAAGGGGGAAAACGATAATGTAATTGTTAAATAATAATAAACGTACAAAGTGAAAGCCTCATAGATGTAAAATTATTTTCTCGTAAAATATATTTCCTCCTTATCCTAAAATAAACGAATAAAAGAATCAATATTCCAAAGTCTAAAGCACTTGACACGTCAGTGGGAATATAACTATTGTTTGACATATAGAATGGATTCTATTTTTTACTAAGCTCATTGATAGTTATCCCAAGGAATGTTATGTCTTCTGTAATACCATCAGTACGATCATCATCAAAATTACACTCTAATTGTTCAATCTTCTCTAAAAGCGTTTCATAGGATTTTGGTTTCTCATCCTTTAGTTTGTAAGTACCAAAATCCTTCCTAGGTATACTTTTTTTATCTTCATGTTATTCAATGCTGTAATCGATAACATCATAGACATTTTCCTCTTCGTTAATAGATTTATGAGGTATTCTTGTTCTATCCAACTTCCATCTTAAGCCTTTTTTCTTATTCCTAGGGGAAGTTCGTCTATCCTTTCCTTCTGCAGCATTCTCCGAATGGGGATTTTCCCCATTTGTTCCACTCTTAACTGATTTACCAGTACCTTCAAGGTGGGTTTCAACGAGACTATACCTTCTATATTTACTGTTTTCCTCAATTTTACACTTCACGAAATAAAACGGGATTTGATCATTTTTATTGTAGCTACCGGAAGTATCTTCATTTGCAGATTTCAAAGAATTATCCTCTTTTTCTTGATTATCGCATCATCCGTCATTATCCGATGTTACTGTAGATATTACTTTATCAGGGTTATACATATGATCACAATTAATATGGCTAGGACAGAGTCCATAGAAACAATAATTGTCAGTTTGTGTGTGTTTTGTAAATAAATTCCTAATAGAATTTAGATATTTTTTATATTCATCTAACCTGACTTGTTCATATATATTTTTTATCTTAATACTCCCATCATTTTTAAAATAATCATACAAATGTTTCTATTGCATTTTATCTTTTAATTCGTTTATGTCTTTATGATGAAAATAATAACGACAACCATAGTTATAAGATTTTTTATTAATTTCACTCTCTATGTCAGAAAATTTTTTTATTTCAGCATACACATCCTGATAATCTTATTCATTTTCGAGCATTTTATTAACCACATGGTATATCCAGTACTGATAGTGCATACAACGTCAATTATTCTTCCCATCTTGTTCATTTTTTATATATTTAAAATTTTTTATAATTTCTTTACAGAGTCGTTTGCTGCTATCGGCAAAATTATTATCTACAGAATTAAAATTATCACCTATGTTATTGTAATTTTATTGTGTGGCTTCTTTATTTAGATCATCATATATACAACACCAAGGTAAATGCTTCAGAATTCTATCTTAAGGAAATGAAAACTAAAATGAATTAAATTCCTGTACAGTACCTGTAACCTCTACTTTAACCTCTTCTTCACAATATAATGTCAAAACAAAGGGAAACACAAATATTTGCACAATAAAATAAAAAAATACATAGATCTCATCCTTTATTTATAAATAGACTATAAATTCCTATAATGTGTTAATTTCATGAAATAACAAAAGAAGTGTGTTATGGGTGTTCGCTTAAGGATAATGACAAAAGAGGTTCCATGTTCATAATTCTTGATAACTAGTTCTTTCATATCAGTAACAGTTAATATATTTATTATGAATAAATATTTCTCATTTATTTTTCCAGAATAAGTTGTAATGCACAATTGCTCATAAAAATGGACACCCCTAAATATGCAACTATTTTGTAAGTAGAACAAGACGGCGTAGTAAAATAGGAATGCAAGCTAAAGCGACATAACTTAAATAAATATTAGACTCTTCTTATTATTATTCCAAATAACAAATGATTCATATTACACTCACAAAATCAGTAATTTTCATGAGAATGATCTTTTATTTGTGGAAAATATTTTTTAACATAAAAATAGCGCTTCATAATAAATTCCATACATCCCTATAGACTAATAATTGTTTCATTTTTAAAATACGTCTAGATATCACTAAAATACTTAATTTTGAAACACACAGGAACTACAGGATTTTGCATGATTCATGACATAGTCATGAATTAAATGAGTCCGAGTAAAGACGGTGTAAAAATAAGCACCGTAATAATACCGTTAGAGAATAGATGTAATATTTTAAAGGTAGAGAACTTTTCCTATACGAATTGCCTTTATCCGAAAAGTCTTTTTTACCGTTGTTTTATTAACAACACAGTTCTATAAGCTGCTATAGATGTGCATCTTTTCTGTATCTCCCCTCTTTATTTTGACCTATTTTAGAAATTTAATTTGTGTTCTGCAAATTTTATTCCATTCAGCATATATTTTTATGTACGTTATTATCATTCAAAATATTTTACCACAAAAAGTTATTTAATTATGTTTAATAAAAAAAATATTTAAAAAAAAGGAGAAATCACTTAAGAAAAGGGGAAAAAAAAGTCATTTCACACTTTCAACGGGTGGAAAATATGCACAATAAGTATTTATAAATAAATATTTAACTCGGCCAATTTTCGGAAAATTTATAAGCATTGTGCAACTTATAAAGGAAGAATTGGAAAAGGGCTAAAGGCGTTACTATAATGACACTCAGTTTGCAAGTGTTTCTTAAGACCTCACTTTTCCCCCTGATGTTTGAAGGGCATGATGCAAAATAGCAGTAGTTTCTTATAGCATTATCACATAAAGATGAAGAATAGTTCCTATATTTTTAGAATAATATAAAAACGGGCCCATATATCATAAATGAATCCTTTGATCTTTATTACACTGTGGTAAAGGAAGTTCGAGGATAATTTATCAAAATGTATGCGTATATTCTAGGATAATATTGATCACTTCCGTAGCTGTATACACCTTTAAACACTATGCGGAAAAGCATGAAATAATTATTAATGACAAATAAACGGTGAGAAAATGTGCACTTGGCACTCTTACACGAAGAAATATAAGTGCAGCAGCGTTAAGTGTAATGCGAAAATATCTTGCATTACAGAAGAATAAAAATGCAAAAAATTTACGGGAACAGAATATGTCATATGAAATGAGATATACCTGGAATTGTAATGTATATTCATATATATATATCATATGTACTCATGCCTGAGAATGACGTTATGTAATTTCCTCGGGCGAGTAGTGAAGAAATGTAAAATGTCTAATAAATTATCTAGTTCTTTATAATTTTATTTTCCTCCCCTACAATATTTATTGTTCCGTATTAATTTATACCTTTGCTAATTTAAAAAAGGTGTGAAACAATGTACACAATTTTGAAATTTTACAAAAAGGAAAAAAATACATTCCTTTCTAGGATGCTACTTCAGAAAGTCCATACTGCTACAATCCCTCTGTAACGCTCGGTCTTAGGTAACATACTTCTAAATAACTAATTCATCTACAAAAGAAACTTTTGTTTTACAGCACGCGCTATAGGCATTGCACTGTGTATATTTACACAAATTACTCAACAATATATACTATATCGTTATTGCGCTTTCTCCATTTACTCCTTCTCATATTAATATATATCATTTCGTTTAAACACTAAAATGTCTTGCTCTCTGCTTGAAGAAAATGCAGAAATGAATGAATTCCCACTGTGTTAAGAGCACGTACGGGTGTTTCCACGATTTCGGAACAGGAACAGCATCAGCGTGATGCTTTAATTTCAAGAGTAAATTAAAACATACTTATGAGCGAAAGTCTTGTCTAATTATATCAAAGGAATAGTAATAATTACATCATATAGTAAAAATAATTGAACTTGAAAATGCAATGAAATTCAAGATATATGTAAAACTGTTCAAAATAGTTTACCCGTGCGATCACTGAGGAAATAAGACATTTTGTAGATGTTCTTTTTTAATCTTGGCAGAATCATCTTTTTTAAAATATAAGTTAATGTTCCTAAGTCTCTATAGTGTTAAAGGGTTCGAATTAGATATGTACCTTTATTCAGACATGTGAAATTATAAAAAGATAATTTAAGAAATGCAGAGCTCCCACGAAACATGCTTATACTAACGCGCGTATCACGTCTTCTAGAAGAATTTGAATCATTTTAAAATCCTTATTTTCATTTGTTCACATCAATTCTCATCAAAGTAAAAATGTGCCTTTATATTTAAAAAGAAAGTGTTCTCAATTGCGTTTATGCACAAAACAGTTCGAAAAAATGCTTTCTATGTAACACCTTCATAAGGTGACTATTCTCTTTAAAAAGAAGCTCTGCTTATTACACGCCATGTACTTGCACTTACAATAAAAATAAAACTTCAGTGCTATCTGTTTATTCAAGATAGTGTATAGTTTAAATAATACCGAGGTACAAATCATCATTTTTCACTAAAATCTTGGCACATATTTCTGTTTTCTACCCCTATAACTTTATTTACCCTCAAACATTATGATGCACTACTCTTTCATTAAATTTTGCTAACACACAATTATAACTGATCCACTTATATATCTTTTCCGTTCTTATAAAGAGTGTAAAATAAGGGGCACGTTTTATCCTACTTTTTGGATTAGAAAAAAAACCAAAGAAAAATCAGGGATTGATCGAGCACCCACAATGGATCATTAAGAATTGAAGATTTGGCATGGCCATATTCATTATACACCGTTAAGTAAAAAACTGATTTTACTCATCATGTTATTAAGAGATGAGGAATAAAAACGACGTATTTTTAAATCGCGCGACGTTTTAGATTTACTGCTTATTTTGTAATTTTTGTTCTAACCGGCTAATATATTATTTCTTTCTTTCTTTTTCCTCCTCGATTAATCGTTATTCTTTTTATTTGGTGCCTCTCTACATTGTTGTTCCCTTTTAGTGCGTCCCCTTTGAATTTCGTTTAACTGAGCGGCCGACAACGTATGTAAAGACTTTCTTAATACTTTCATCTATACTCATTCTCACTCATCAGAAGTATGCTTTGATAAAAAAATGATCTCTCTCGAATCATTCTAAACGTATAGAGGTCAAAGGTGCTGGGCAATCATTCTTTATATACAAGCGCAGATTTAATTGTTTTTCTCCCTTTCCAGAGTTGCCATTTTCAGTAATAATACTATTCGAAGGTGCAACAAGTTTAACCAACAAGAGAGGAAAAATATAATCCGAATGTTACCTTTTTCTAAATTACACTATCATCCAACTTTATTCAACAACTTCATATACTTTATGTTGCACATTTCTGCGATTGGACGTTCTGTTTTTTAAAAAAAAAAAAGGAAGCATTCTACAAAGGATCTCCGCAAAAATTGTTAAGCTAAATAATTGTTAATTTAAATAAGGAAATAGCAAAATATGAGTGGATAAATGAGATTCTTAATAAATGAACAAAAAAAAGGGCACATGCTGGATGAAACACAAATCGCACAATTTCGTAGTGAGCAAACTGGTGATAGAAAAAGCCCTCTCCAAACTGTAAATTTTTTTACATCTGTTAGCCCATAAGAACTTTTTGCGACATTAAAAAAAATAGAGAAAAACACAAAAGCGGAAAGGGAAAAAGTATATACATATCTATATAATATCTACATAATCATTTTGAATGTAAAAATTCTGTGCCGCTGTCAATCGGTTGCAACATTTTACATACAACCCTTTTTTACCTGTTTAACAGCTGCTGCGACGAATTTCTGAAATATCCATTGTGAACCCTTCTATATATGTTCTTCCTTAATTTATACTTAATTATTTGGGCGTACCCAGGCAGTGGAATTAAAGAGCTTATTATTAGTATACTGTGCCCCCTTGCCTCAAGCCATTAACACAGAAAATGGCTGCAACATTACTAGGAAAAAAAAGTTTTATATAATGAAAAAACTATTTGATTTTATATTTGGATTAATCAAAAATAAATCAATAAAAAATGCTTAAAAAGAATAGGCGCCGTCACTATATTGAACCTTCCAAATTATATATACATTTACTTTAAATGCCGTAAAAATTATTATACCCATACTTAAGAGGCAACATAAAATTGAGTTTCGCCAGGAACATTTTGAGTTCATTCCTCCTTAAAATAATGCTTTAAAGAGAGGAAGAGAAAAGTCTCTTACATGTTCACCTCTTTGTTCATTGACCAATTCTTAAGTTGCTTATTCTATAGCCATAAATACCAAAACAGCAAAAAAATAAATTGATGGCCGTTTTTCAACTGCATTGTAACTACTTTACAACCATCTTGTGATATCCACTTGACGCTCACTTACACACAAAAGAGATATTTTTTATTTCACAAAATGGAATAGAAACGTGCCCTGTGCACAAATTTATGTACAGCTTGTTATTCACGACCCTGTAGAGCCGCTTGCACCGAACCTTTCTAACTCAGGAGAAGACTCATTCTTTTCTTTTTTAATAAAATATACACAAACAGCAAACTGTGGTTAAAACACCCACATTGGGCTGCATCTCAGAGGGTTATTTTCGGCAAAATATAGCAATGATAGTAAATAGTAAGTAAAAATCAGGCGCCACCAAAAATGAAAGTTGCTTTCATTGTCTTGTATATATTTAGCGTTTTATTAGATTTATCCGCGGCTGCCGACAATTTAGAGGATTTTCTTGATGTAAGGCGAAAACAGGGCACCAATGTACATATAATGCATCACATTCGGCTGCCTTTAAAAAATTATATGAACCCAAACAAAATATATATAAACACTTTTCCCATTAATTTTATTCGCCTTCCCAGAAACGAAGCAACGAAATTGAAAGAGTCACACATGATGCATTAAAGGACACATCGGAAGGGACGGAAGAAGTGGAAGAATGGGTCGAGGACGAATGGCGCGAATGGATGGACGAACTGCAAATGGATTGGAAAGAATTCAACTGCTCCCTCGAAAGCGAAGAAAACAAGTGGTATGGAAAAAAAGAAAAGGAAATGATAAAATTTATCAAGTCCATAGAAGAAAAATGGCTGGATTTTAATGAAAACATGCATGAAACGCTTAAATATGGCATATTAAAAATTCCCTTAATGTGGGACTTCTCTGAGTGGAAAGAATGGATTAACGAAGATGGCAAACATATTATAAAACACCAATGGGATAACTGGACCACTTCAAATCAAACCCTCTACTATAAGCTAATTATGAAAGAATGGCTTAAATGGAGAAACCAAAAAATTAAGCAGTGGCTTAAACGTAATTGGTTACTCCATGAAGGTAGAATTTTAGAAAATTGGGAGCGTATGCCATACACTAAAATTTTAGCTATCTCTGAGAAAAAACCCTGGTTCAAGTCGAATGCACAAATCATTAATGAAAGGGACTGCTTTGTCAACTGGATTAAGAAAAAGGAAGATTTTTTAAATAGTCAAGCAATCGATAAGTGGGAAAATTGGAAATACTACAAAAACGATTTCTTTCAAAAATGGATGGATTCCTTTCTTAGCCACTGGCTAAATATAAAGAAACGGGATATATTGTATAATCAACGTTAAAATTCAAATTATAAAGAAAGAAAAAAAAAAAAGTCCACCAATTAAATAGAACGTTTGCATGATTATCAACGAAAAAATCAGAATGTCTTCCTCCGAAAAATGTGCTTCAAATTTTGTGAGAGCGAATTAATGAAAATAATCAATAATGCTACACAAAGGGAAAATGTTTCAATTTGTGCGGATGCATCATTTGAACCCGTTACATTGATGCTGATACAGCCACTAACCCACCTGAAAGAAATTATGGAAAATCTCTGTTAGCAAGAGCACCAGCAATTTTCGTATGATGGCCCCAAAGAATTAGAAGGTTAATCTTAAAATGGACAATATACATTTTTCACCTAAATTTCAGATAAGCTGTTAAAAATTGCATTTATTGCCTTCATTCGCGTTTTAAATATTTTTTTTTTGTTTCGAATTATGCTCACCATTTAATCTTCTCTTATTTTTTAAACTGTGTCTCTGATAATTAGGTTTTATCTACATTTGTCGTTAATTATATGTAGTACCATGTGCACTTAAAAGTGGAACTCCATTATGTGTACACATCCGAAAATTAAAGCTCATTACTTATGCAATTATTTATATGTGCAATCCGAACGTTTTGGTATCATCCTTTTTCAGTGTTCTTAAGTGGCTGCTTGAATGATGGTGCAAGTACCACATTTGTTTCCATAAGTCAGGAAACAAGATCTTTACTGGAACTTTTTTGTGCATTTAATTTGAAGATGCTTATTACTGATTGAAGGATTCATTGTGACGACATTGTTTTGCTTTATTTTATTCTATTTTATTTTGTTTTGTTTTATTCTATATATATTTTGTTTCCCCTGTTTTGATTTCATGTTGGGAACCCGAATTATATGACCCTTCTTCGTTAAACATTTAGATGTTAAGAGTAATTATTACATATATGCGTGTACATATACCAACCTTCTACATTCAATCTGGCAGAACCGTATAAAGATCTTGCCATTCCTGGTGTCCTTCTGATTACACAAAATGTAACCTTCATATGAATCTAATTTCAAAAAAATGAAAATTTATTCTTTTATTTTTTAAACTCATGTTCTTAATAACCATGTTAATAAGGAACAAATCTTTACAACCAAAACATTTATTTCTTGAAGAATCTACGAACACGAAACGTCCAATTGATCCAAGATTATGGAAAATTATTTTCGAAACTGTGCATATTATTTAGTATACCGTTCCTTATTTCAACTTTTCAAAAGGGGGAAAAAAGAAATTTATTCATATAGTGAAGTAAAACAATTTAAGTGAACCCCCTTCACCAAATGCATAACATATGCGTATGTTGAACTATTAAAAATATAAAAAATTCTGACAAAGTACAGACAATGATAAAATTTAAACACAAAATAAAAGAAAGACTAAAAACATGCATAATAGACTACTTTCAAATGCAAAATATTTTTCCCCTCTTAATTTGTGACATCATCTTTTCAGTTTACCTCTTAACTAAATCTTTAAAGTTGAAATTGAAATCCTTTTTAATTTTTTCTCCAAGGGAAATAAATGATTTTACTATAAAAATATACTCATTTCTTTCAAATTGCTTCTCGAAAAGAATACAACACACTGTTTGTAAAACTAACAAACAACCAAAAAAATAACCAAAAAAGTAGCCAAAAAGTTAAAAATTGTAACAAAATGAGATGAGGGTGAAGATAAAGATAAAACATATTGCACACGCGAAATAAATATTCCTTTTCTAAAGCAAATTTAGAATAAACTTCGAAAGGGCAGTTGTTCCACCATTTATTATTAGCTCGCATAACTAAAATACATATACACATATTAATTACATTGTTCTACTGTAACATTTAAAGTATCTTTAGTTTTTTTTTTTTTTTTTGCGAATGTTATTTTAGTTATAATTTGCAATTTAACACGATTTTTAATAAATAATGATTGCAATTTTTTGTAATAAATGTTTTACGTGAGCTCCCTAGCAGAAGCAGTTTTATAATTACCATTTTATCCATAACAAGAAATGACGAGTCACGAAATGTTCACAACTTCTATATAGATATAAAATTTATCTATGCAGAGACCTACATAAGATTTTATTATACTTATAACAGGTATTTTTACCCCCCCTTGTTTGGCCTATTTCATTTTTACTAAAGTATAGAAAAAAAAAAAAGAACGTAATGTTACACATCCTATACATGTAACATTTTCTTTTTTAAAATTGTTCCATAAAGAAAATACAAAGACCATTCTGCTGTCATGCTTCAAATTTTCCTTCGTTGTTTCAAAAGTAATCCTTGCCTTATTTTTATTCTCTTCTTTTTTTTTAAATCAAGCCTCAGGAGTGAGATGAAAAAGCACATAAGCATAGGATGGATCTTTTTAACAGTTCGATTTGCTTTATGCAATAGGGTTATATAAATTTTTGTGCTTTAAACCTATTTTCGACGCAGGCTTCCAGGTCGCCTTAAACCAAACTAGTAATTAGCTATCGAAGGCATTAGAAAATTCATAAGAACCAAAAGGAAGATCAGACGAATGGAGACAAAATGAATGGAATAAGTGCGAAGATAAAATCGAAGAAGCATGTAAAGAATTGGATGAAAATTTAGAAGCTGAAAAGGATGAACACATCAAAATGAATGAAAAGGAATGGGAAACATGCATCGAAGTTATCAAAAAAAAATGGACCAATTTCTGGAAAAATATAGATGACAAATAGAAGTCTGAAGTTTTAGAGGGATCTTTACACTGGAATGAAGCAGCTTGGAGAACATGGATTAAAACAAAAGAAAGAGCATTTATACAAAGAGATTTGGTAAATTGGTTTGATTCCAAACAGTCTTATCTATATCGATAGGTTTCGATTCAATAGACAGAATGGAAAAATGAAAAAATTCAAGGATGCTTCAACACTGAATGGAAGCGTGAAGAGAATGAATACTGGGCGAAATGGAAGCAGTGGAAAATACGAAACTGACGTTGTTTTACGATTGAGTGGATTCTTATGTGTACAAATGGATAAGGAAAGATCAGTGGACTGTCTTGATTCATGAAATAAAGGAATTAGCTCCGTGCAACACTTAGTGAGCAAATCCGTGAGTAAATTCTAATAACAAGAAACAGCTGACACACGTCTGTTATTTTTTTCTTTTTTGTATATCTTATTTGGCAACATGATGCCTAAACTTCAGTCCCAAAGAATGAACAAATTAGTACATTGGTAGAGAAGCAAACGGGAAGGCCTGATCGATTTTGCCCTTTCCTCGTTATTGGGGCCCACTCCGCATACATGCATATGTATACAACTTAAGCTAGCCAAATTTAACCATTTATTTAAAAAAAAACACAAATTCGAATTTAATGTGACAAGTTAAGAGTATATAAATAATAATTATTAATAAGACTACGGGTCTATCTAAATACTACGCGAGCAGTTTAGTTTGCAATTTGGCACCCCCCTCCCTTCCCATAGGTTGGACACAAGTGGAATCCATTTTAGTCACCACTTTTCGATATGCATTCTTCTTATTATTCCAAAATGGCCTTTATTTACTAGTCCTTAAATTTTCCTTTTTATTTATATATGATAAATTAATGCCAAGATAACATCTTGGTGCAAAATTTCTTCACAAAATATTTACACATTAATCATTAAGTACTTAGTTATTTGTATTTGTCATCCTGATGTTATATCATTTAGTTTGCATCATTATTTCCTTTCTTGCTTTCCATTCCTGGCATTTCTTTTATCTCTCCTAAACATATCTATCTTGATAGTAGTAAAAGATCAACCTTGCCAAAACTCGAAAAGGTAGGGGAAGAATGTTTAACGCGTATAAACTATTTTAGTGCAAAATAATCGGTGCAACCTCAATAATGCTATGCACAGCATACCACATTTAGCACCTCTCCCCGTTCAAACAGTCGCTAACTCTGCACATGTCACAATGACGATTTGTTTCAGAACCGTCTAAAAGTACATTTTAATATTTCATTTATTGACACCATGTGAGACAAAAGAATTTTATAAACATGTTTTGCCACTTATCCATTCCATAGAGACAATAATGATTAGCACATTGCGGAAACAAGGGAAATTACATAAATACCCACTATGTCCAGTGCACATTTGTGCGCCCTTTCTATTAATATGCGCATAAGCCTTATACATATATATATGTACCTTTTTTCTTTAAGGGTAAAAATAAATTTTAACGCCTTCCTCATAATTACAACACCATCTTTGACGCCTATGTTGACGTAAACCAGATTTTCTAAAAGTACATGTTCGAACTCTGAAGACATAAAGCACGTCTTAAATTTTATACTAATGCGTAACTGGTCGCCCACTACTATTCATAAACGAAATGTTTCCTTTTCCATTTTGAAATAGAAATTATCCGAATAAAAATAGTAATAGTGTTCACTATTTTTTTTTTTCTCTCTCAAATAATTGTTATCAAAAGTAGAAGTACATAAGAAGGGGGAATAATTACTATAAAAAGGACAGTGCGCCTATTTCGTCATTATTAAAAGTGCTGTTGAGAAAAAATTAATAAATAGTACTTCATTAGAATGAGGGTACCCAAATGTACCATAGAAAATACAACAAACTAGAAGAAAGAAAGTATAGAATACATAACTAAAAAATTGCATAAAGTACCAAGAAATGACCATTTTAATAAATTAAATACTGCGTGGAAACAATAAGGTGTGTCTAAACAGTTAACCCATTTTGCTATTTCTTATGATATATGTTGCCTCTTCCTATTGGCACCAGCATTTGATTAGGAGTAATTGAGGATTATCCCAAGGAAATACACTAAATTTTTCCTTCCATACCATGTTCTTTACGTCTACATTTACAAATAAATAATCCCTCATTTTTCCATGTTTTGTAACAATCATTAACAATAATATATTTATACAGGAGATACGCAGAACAATAAACATAAACGCTTTCCTATTTAAAAACCTTTCAACGAGTCAATAACGAATGTATCATTAAAAGGACAAATGAGTTTTACAACAAATTCCAAATGTATATATTGTACTCCTCCAATGTACCTCTTTTTCTTAGTTCGAATGAATATCCTATTTTGTTCACTTATTTGTATTTTAAGAAAATTCTTAAATAATTATCTCTTCCATCTTCTACCATCCCCCACGTAGGAAATTTAAAAAGCTTTAATAAATAAGGACTAAGAATTGCTGAGAGCAAATTATAATTTTATTTTATTCGAATAATAATATAAATTGGAACTATCATATATTTTCTCCTTATAGTAATTATTACCCACCTTTGGAAGATTAAGAATAGGTCATACATACATATTCTTATCTTTTCAAATATATGTGAACTTGAATAAAGTGAATAATGCTAATCTTTAATAAAAAAAGCTTTTGTCTTTCTAAAACTGTCTCTTGTTTGCAAAATTATTCAAATGTTGATGGAATATGTAAGCCTAAAATTCTTTTTAACAAATTTTAACTTTAAAGTGCAGAAGGCATGAAGTAGTAAAGACACGCAAGGCAATTTAAGGATACTTATTTTATTCAATAATTTGGGATTATTCCTAGGTCCTATAATAATTCACTAGTTTTATTTTACATCAACATTATCCCTCCTACACATAAAGCAAAAAAGAACTTTTTATCGTTGACAAATAATTTCTGAAAAGAATTATTCAAGAAAATGCGAAATAACAATGTACATATTTTATCTTCCAATTCCAACTGTGTCATTGCAAAGCCATAAGGAAATGATATTTTGTTAATTAAAAAATATGCTAGTAAGAAGTTATATATGTTACGTACGTAACATTACAATGATAATATTGTACAAGGGCAATTATCTGGTGGATTTTTCTTCATTCTTGTATATTTATTTACGAGATCGTAAATCAAGAATAAGGTGATTTTGTTCTTTTTTTCATCAGATTTATATTTCTTTATTTTTTCGTTGTCCCAGGAACTTAAATAAATTTTATTCCAGATAAATATTTATACAGAAATATATGTACTTCATGTTGAAAGAAAAAAATGACTATTTAACTTAAATATTTATTAGAAATTTTTTATAATTATTACGTTTCATTAACTTCTTAAATTTTTTTTCTATAATGTAATACATATATACTACCGTAGTTTTCAAATTTCTGCAAATTTTTACATTTGGATAAAATTCTGCGGTCACTGCTACGATCCTTTTTATCACGTTTATTTACCTCAAAATTTTCCTTCATATATCGTCTCATTTTGGACCTTCAAAAATATTAATAAAAATAGAGATATGCTATTGATGTTATTAAATAATCGTTTCATTTTTGTCCGTTTATTATTTCTCAACTTATTCCAGCTTTCGTTGAAGGACAATAAATTATTTCTTGTTAATTTTTGCTTAAAAATATTCCATATGGATATTTTTTCAGGCTGTATTTTCTCTTTTCTTTTTTAACGTCCTTCAAATGCATAATCTTAAATTAGTAGTGGTTAATACTCAAATAAAACGTGACTGTTATACAAAAATGGATAGTGGATAATGAAAAATGAAAACCTTAATGAAATAAATTTTTAAGGGAATAGAGGAAGCTGAATATGACAAATTATATGAAAGCCGTGCTGTTGAATTTTCCACAATGAGTATAACACAATGGACAAACCAAATCAGATTTAACGTATTTCTTTTTATCTTGAAAATTATCATATTAAGCTTCTTCCTTCACAAATCAAAACATATCACCAATGTAAGTTTATAAATTGCACTATGAAAATTTTTGTATATTTAATTACCACCCATCATGTTGTATTTATATATATGTACGAGCATATTTTAATTATCCCTATTACGTGCAGCAAACAGAATAACATGTCTTTTCTTTTTTCCTCTTCTGGTACTGTTGTGCATATATGTTTTGCAACTTATAGGGTTCTCCGATTACGCCAGGAAATAACTCGAAGAATCAAAGGAACAACATACAATTTAAAATATTAAGATTGTTGAACGAAAATGCCTATACCGATTCGGCTAGTAAATATAAAAAACTATCATCAATAACGAAGGAAGAAACTGACAAATTAGAGTATTCGGGAAAAAAAGCAGAAGCGATAATGTCAAACATTACTAATCATGAAGACTTAGACAATAAATCTGTGGAAGTTGATTTATTAGATGAAGAACAACTGCTAAGGGAAATGAATAGAATTATATTACAAGAAAAACTCATCATGGAGAAATTTTCCAAGGCACGGAATTCTTCTTCAAACGAATATTTTTCCTTTTATTTCAATGAAGAAAATTGCATAAATCGAATCATGGACTTGTCGAGAAAATCAAGATTGTATAGAAACAAATATTTGCGATTGTGGTATCGTATTCTCAGACATATCAATAAATTTATAAAAGGAATGAAACCATTCTTCATAAAAGAATGTAAATACCATAGAAACGATTTGGAACAATTTCGTGCTAGTAATTTTTATTACTTCGTATTCCCTTATGTAAAATGCCACATCAAAATCTCCTTTTCTCGGTTTTTTAAGCAAAATCTTCCTAATAAAAGTAAATATTTAAATATACTTCCCTGTTTACGTAACCCTAAAGGTAACAGGAAGTAGTAAATGATAGCAAATAATAGAGAATAATAGTCAATAATAGCAAATAGTAGCTAATAATAGCCAATAATATCACGCAACCCCCCCAAGAGGGGGATTGGATTCTATCGTAAAAGTTTACTCATACAAATAATTAAATTTAGATATTTCCATGCTACCTTAACACACCTAGAAATGTTTTTCTTATGAAAGAGTAAAAAAAAAAAGAAAATGATATGCAGTTATTAATAAGTCTTTCATACTATCCTCCTTACTCTTTCGTTTGTGAATGATAAATATAATGGCAGTGCGTGCTATTATATTTTTCTAACATTATTCCATATTTTCCTAAAATTACATTTATTTTTATAAGTGACTGTTTGGAGAATATGTTTTTTTTTTATTTCTCATAATCCTGAGAGTAGCCTTTTCTTTATAGATACGGCTTTACTATAATCATTTGTTTGCCACATAAAATACTATATGTGTGATTAATTTTTTTGGTGTTTTGATATATCTACACTATTTTATTAATATATAATGCTATGCCCCATAGGGTTGCTTGATATTAGTTAATTTACCACATTTCACCTTACCTTACCTCATTTGACCTTTATCTTATTTCAGCTTACCTTACCTTATTTCATTTTTACCTATCCTTTTTTTCTTGGAAACTTTAAATAATTCCCCTATTGTCATATTTATTCATTAATCGACAAGGCGATATTTAATTTTGAAAGTTTTTTTCTTTTTATTTAAAATTTTGTACAAGCCTACAGGATGATTTTTTTTTTATAATGTGAAATCCTGTCTCCCATTTGGTGCAGCAAAAGTAGGGTTATCAGGGGATCAACTTTTTACAAATCACATATATACATCCAGTCTCTTTGATATCAGAAAAGAATGACATTCCTAAGGCAAAACTATATATATATATGTATGTATGCATGCATAGTACCGTGAGAATTATATGCATGTATTTGTGAAAGTGTAAATTCAACATAAGCCAACAAACCCCAGCGTGTCACGCTTAAATGTGACGCGGAAGGGAGAACATCAAATTGAAGTTATTGCTAACAGTTCAGAATAGTCAAAGCAGACATGATTCAGGACTCCTCAACGAAACGATTCGTAAGAAGACAATGTATATGAGGATAATTTTAAAGAATTCATAAGAAAGGAATTCACCATGAACATAAATTTATAGATCATGAAAAAATCCTAATGAAAAATATGAAATGAAAAATAATAAAAACGCAAAGTTAAGTAAAAATAAGGCCACTCTGCAAAGGAATAGTACACATCGGAGAAAAAGAGAAACCAAAGAAGAGAGAAACGTAAGTACCAGATAACGATGCCTCTGTTTCTTCAAGTAAAAACGTCGAAGATCCCACTCTAGAGAAAACTCTCAAAAATTAGAATATGTAATAACTCTAAAAATCTAGCTGATAATGCTACACATCAATCACATGACGATCAACGTGGTATATTACACACTTACGATGCAGTGTGGCACATAGAAAGTGATAGATAAAATGGTAAAGAAAGACAAGACCGTGCA